TGAATTGCAGTGCGATGATTCTCTTCGCAGTCGCCACCAGCTTCTTTCGCTGTCCGAGTTTTACAAGAGTTTGGATTCTTCCAAATTTCCCTTGATAAAACGCCATGCACAAAGGATGATAAGTCTGTTTGGCTCCACATATATATGTGAGCAAACATTTTCACTGATGAATCTAAATAAAAGTTAATTGAGAACCAATTTAACTGACAGCCACCACTGTGATTTGCTACGCATATCTACTACATGACTTACTCCTGAATTGACATCAATTCTGAAATCGAAGGCACAACATCACTGTTCACATTAACAGAGTTTATGGTGAGTAAAATATATATTATCATTTTAATAAATTATTCCATAATACTACACATACAAACACATATACACACACACATATATATATATATATATATATATATATATATATATATATAGTTAGATAGATAGATAGATAGATAGATAGATAGATAGATAGATAGATAGATAGATAGATAGACACACACATACATACACCTGTGTGTGTGTGTGTGTGTGTGTGTGTGTGTGTGTGTGTGTGTGTGTGTGTGTGTGTGTGTGTGTGTGTGTGTGTGTGTGTGTGTGTGTGTGTGTAAAATTAGGCCCGGTACAACAGTTTTTTTTTTTTTTTTATCTGGCCCTTGGCCCAAAAAGTTTGGACACCCCTGCTCTAGACTAACTTTTTGCCTTGGTAAAGCTTTTTTTCTTAGGTGAACCACGCATTGAAGAGTATACAATTTTATATTTATATTAAAGATAAATAAGGCAAGAATATGAGAATGATACATTTTATATTTTTACATCTACAAAATTATCTTGTGGTAGTGCACTTGTTTAATAAAAATATTTGTAATTGTAACATTTAACATGCAATACAGTGCCATCAAAAAAATTTAACCGCATAACCTTTTGTATTTACAAGTAAAATTAGGTTTTATACTCGGCCTAGGCTCAAATCCAAAAAGCACTAAATAACTTATATATTTTTAAATTACACAAGTTAAACTAAATGACTATATATTACGCTAAATAACTAAAATAGGCTATATAGGTGTAATTTAATTCTCTGATAAAAACAAAAGTGATTTAGCAATGCCGCACCACTGACAAGCCAATGGCAGAGAAACAAAGCAACCACAGAAATCGCGGAAACCCCAGTAAGCACTTTTTCCGAATTTATGCCTTTCTTTTTTACATTTACTGTGCGTTTATTGTTAAATAAATCCGTAATGAATAGGCATATAAGTGTATCTTTTGCGTGTGTGCGTGCGAGCATGTATGCGTGCGTTTCCGTCAACTGTGTCTTTCATTACTAAAGGAGCGCTCTTCCAAAAGCGTAAGTTACTTCTTCTGTCTGGCAATATTTTGATGTTTTTAATCAAATGAAAAAACAATTTAGATGAGCCTATAGTCAAAATTTGTAGAAACTGTGAAAAGAAACTCTGCAGCCGCACATTGAATCTAAGGTTTCATTTCATCTTGCTCTTGCTGTCATCCAGATATCAATACGTTGACGCCACATAAACTTCAAGTCACAAAACTGAGGCCGGTGCCAGCTGAAGCACTTGCGAAATGGAAAAAAAAACAGCAATGAAATTAACAGGTAGGCCGAATGTCTTTCAGCCAAAATATCTATCACCCCTATACAGGGCTACCAGCAGGATTTTATTCCAAGGTATATTATAATGATATAAAATATACAATTTGAATAGCCAAAATTAAGTTTCAGTATTTTAAATGCGATTAATCGCAATAAATTTTTTTTTAAAAGTGCGATTAATTAGTTAAATTTTTTTAATCGATTGACAGCACTAATATATATATATATATATATATATATATATATATATATATATATATATATATATAGATCAAGTATAGAGGTCACACACTAAGCACCATGCACTTTGGAATTCTAAATGTAGGTTTCTATCAGGGTACACAACAGTTCCCAGCTACGACTCAGGACACAGTTCATATTTCTGCCGCGCACAGAGGACTACAGTGATGATTGAATGATGTTTCACCGGATGACACCAAAATCGAAAAGCTACTTCAGGGAGCCATGCATCTCTCTAAACCCTGATCCTTTATTGTGGTGCAAATTAAATGGGTCTCGATTTGCAAGTAAGCACAGTTGCTTAGTGGTACCTGTCTGTTCTTGCAACTTCTGTGCCTGCTAAGCTCTTTTTTCCACCGCCGGTCTATAAATTTCGGCTTTCATCGGAGCATGTAGACCAACTGATCTTTTTGAATTAAAATATGTAGTCATTCTGTTAAGTTTCATTACCCATACATGGTCATATATTCAGGCTGTTTTGATTTAAGTTTAAGCAGCATAGTTAAATTAGGCCGCCTTATTTTATTTACCTCCACCGACTGATAGCTGTGGTAAAAAATATTCAAGCTATTTTTTTTTTAAGTTTATGCAGCTAAATTATGCTAGCTTCTAATTTTAGTTAGGCTATGTGCTACTTAACAGTTGTTTGCTTTTGGTGAAATTTTTTTATTTTTTATTACTTGCGAAGCATTAAAAAAAAAAAAACTTTTTTAATCCTCATCTGTTGTGATGCTGCTGAAGTAAAATACTGTTTTGGTTTAAATGTCAGTTAAATAAAATAACTGAAATGCAGAGTATCGTGTTTTTTATTGTTGTTGTCTCTAATATAGGGCGAGACAGTAGACAGTATATGGCGCAGTAGGTAGTGTTGTCGCCTCACAGCAAGAAGGTCACTGGGTCGCTGGTTCGAACCTCGGCTCAGTTGGCGTTTCTGTGTGGAGTTTGCATGTTCTCCATGCCTTCGCGTGGGTTTCCTCTGGGTGCTCTGGTTTCCCCCACAGTCCAAAGACATGCGGTACAGGTAAATGGTCCGTAGTGGGTGAGTGTGTGTGGTTGTGGATGTTTCCCAGAGATGGGTTGTGGCTGGAAGGGCATCCGCTGCGTAAAAACTTGCTGGATAAGTTGGTGGTTAATTCCGCTGTGGCGGCCCCGGATTAATAAAGGGACTAAGCCGACAAGAAAATGAATGAATGAATGAATGAATGTCTCTAATATAGAAAAGGTATGTGCGGGGAGTGCAAGAAAAAGCGAAACAGCTAAAAAACTACAGGGCACAGGGTAAAAACTATTTCTCACTTTGTGGCTGTTCATCAAGAGGTCGACAAGGTTTGTTTGAGCTTGAGTCAACCATGGTTTGTAATTTATGTATATATAAGTTTACCGTAATCTCTCGGCTATGTATTTAAAACATGGCGGTTCCTTTGTTTTCATTCTGGCTTTTCGTGTGAGCGAATTACCTATCTCTGTAAACCAATAACAGTCAGCTGCTCATCTAGCTCTGCCTTTTGGTACCCTTTACAAAGGGTGCTGAAAAAGTGGTAAAGTACGGTTCGGTACACCTTTTGACAGTGGAAACGGCCATAAAAGCGTACTGTACCACTCAGTGGAAATGGGCCATAAGTAGTAAATAACAACACAACGTTTGGTTGTGAAACAGTTTGGACAAAGTTGTCAGCGATTCTTCCTATTGTAAAGTCATGCAGTGTGAAACCCCCTGTCGCCAAACCATCTTGCAGTTTACAAAAAGCAGCGATAAAATGCTAGCCCAGATAGTCATGCAGTGTGAAAACATCTGTGAAATGACTACTTTGAAAATTATACTGTCTGAACTCGGCATAAGCAGCAGCAGCTTAGGGAACTTTCAGAGCCCTGTCAACTGCTAAATGTCTTCTGCTCTGGAAGAAAAGATGGTGCTCTTCAATTTAGAAGGCTTTATCGATGCATTTTTGTGCTTTCTGTGTTTGTCTACTCAACATGGATTAGCCTACATCAATGACTTTCTAAACATGTTCTTATGGTAAATTATTAAAGATGCAGCTTCAAATGCTTACATTTTTTTCACTTTTTCATAACACTTTTTGAGGTTTTTTCCTGTTCTGTGTCAACTGGGTTAAGTACACCCACCAATGTTTAGATTTGATGGTGTTTTAGTGCATGGTTGTTTTTTATATATCATCATTAAATTTATTTTGGGACAAGAGAAAATAAACAACTTAGTAAAGTTGCTTTAGAAATGTAAATTCCACAATATACAGTTTTTAAATTAAGTGAAACCAAAAAAAAAAAGGCACGCTACAACAATATAAAATATTCAATTGGACCAATAAGATGATCAATAACTTTATAGTTTTTCAATTAGCTCAACGCATTATTTCTCATGGAACTAATGTTAACAGGCTGTTAATATTGGGCAGTAACTAGAACATTTTGAGTTTTCCGTTTACAGTGCAGAAAAAACCTATTCTCAATGCAATTGCTTGAATGTGAACAAAGTCCGATTGGCAACAATTTAAGCCACTTCAAGATTGGTGTAACAGATTGTAGTAAACAAAATGCATGCTCCTCAATAAATACTGGCAATATAAATACACTAGTTTAATTTAATGCTGATGATAATAAAATTAACTAATGAATGAATGAACATATTACAGAAAGTCTTAGTACATTTATATTAAACCACGGCAGCCCAATTACATCTGATACCATCTCATTAAATTAGTAACGTGAAAGCTTTTACATTTTTCTCAGAGCTGTATGAAAAAAACGGTAGCTATCAATAGTCCACAATACTTCGGTCAAGTTCAGGTTAATAAAGATTAATTACAAACCTGTGGTGTTTCAGTATCCTAGACATGAATGAAATGCTGTTATACAGATATAACACACTACCCTATTTTTTGAAATATTGAATGTCTCCAGTCAAAACACCTTCACGACTCACTGACAATGCTATTTGCGCTTGCCTTGTGAATCGTTCGAACTCTTCTTCAAACGAAAAAGGCACGGGATTTCCCATGAGTTTGACAGAGCAGAGATTTAGCCACGTAATTGAATTATATCAGTACTTTAACAGATCACAATTTCATACACGTGCCATATGCGCGAGCTACTGTCAACACGTTAATGGATGCATTTGGCAACTTACATTATCCCGCACTGTCACGATAATCGTAGGTGATTCACGTCCCAAAACAAATTATTGGACAGCATTGTAACGGACACCTTTGGCAAAAAAAAAGTCTATTAAATAGCGCGGTGTTGCATTATGCAACGGACAATAGGATGAGAGACCGAGAGTCGCGAGCAAACTTACCTTAATGCATGCGTAGACGCTTCGAGATGATTGTCGATGATGGACGAATAGATAATTTATTCGTGAGAGCGAACAAAACAGTCCTTTCCGTAAAGCCCTCCTATTCGATTGGAAGTGGTGACCCATCACAAGCGAATGGGACAGCCCTCCTCCGCCCCAACCTCCTCCGCCTCCCAGGGATTCTGGCATTGTTGGTGTGCAGCGATCCACCTGACAGCGATCCTCTTGTTTTCTCCATTTCAACCATATAGAATAACATGAAAGAAACCACAAACAGGCATTATTTAAGATGGATTTGTTCGTGTTTTAATAATTTGCGTTCTATCTATCTATCTATCTATCTATCTATCTATCTATCTATCTATCTATCTATCTATCTATCTATCTATCTATCTATCCTGTCTGTCATGTCATTATTTATGCTTGTCTGTTATTTTTCTTCCACACACACACACACACACACACACACACACACACACACACACACACACACACACACATATATATATATATATATATATATATATATATATATATATATATATATATATATATATATATATATATATAATAGTATATATAGTAGATATAATATATATTATTATATTATTATACTATATATTATTTCATGGATACACTAAATTAAATTAAATTATATATATATATATATATAAGTAACATTTTTATTCTCTTCAGCAAAATAGATGTTTTATTTGTATCAAATTAGTCCATTGTTTTCAAAAGATCATGATAATTTCTTTAAGTTACCTTATATGTGTGTTGGAGAAACAAGGAGAAAAAAAATTCAAATACATCTGCAGTATTGTCAGATACTGTCATATACAAACTCAGTGGAACACATTGAGTAAATATGAGTCAATATATGTAAAAAAAGAGTAAGTAAAATGTGATCAATTAAATAAATAAATAAATCAGAAAATCACCAGACTGTTTCCAGGCAACGGTTGTGAGGTATAGAAATCCAAGGCCACTGGAGGGCCCTTTCTTAACCCACAACTGACTTTTTTTTAAGAATTATCTTGTATCTCTCCATTGTTTTCAAATTATGAGTACTATAATAATCAATCAAGAAATTTATTAAATACACGTTTAATGTTTTTCTAAAAAAAAAAAAAAATTAAAAAAAAAAAAATCATGCTCCAATAATCAAATGCTCTTGGGTTTCATATTAAGTTAAAACATGTGCCATTAGCAATTAACTTTAAGACTTATATTAATATAAAATTAATAATTCTAATTTTGTGCATTTATTTATGCCATTTTACAGTCAAATTCATAAATGCTACAAGACTTTTATCTCCTTTAAAACACAAATAAACATGAGGCTTCCTCCTCGTTCATTATTATTATTCAGTTGGGCCTCTTTGATTGTGCTTAAAAATCTAGCGGATCTCCCCAGGGAGGTCATTACCGAGTGGCATGGTTATCATCAGGGCCACTGTCTGCGGATAAATCATTCATTTATTTGAAAGAGAGCACAAAGTAATACCCAAGGCAGGATGTCTGTTTTCAAACACAATTTGTGTGATATTTTGATATTTAACCCAATTCATCATTAGTATAGAATATGTTTAAAACTTTAGACATCCAAGTTTGGACTTTTCAAATGCAATTTGGTGTATAATTTTAAGACCCCCTATATACATTAAATAGGGTTACATTTTGGTTTTAAGGGTCTCCAACAAAAGGCTGATTTGCATGCAAGGTCAAAAAAACACTTTCATGGTCTTATAACATGCATTTATTTTTACCCAATTATCCTAGCAACTCCCATATGATTTCAGCAATTCAATTGTTTCCAAACCCTTCCTTAGCATAAAGCTAATCTGCGCTGATTGGACCGATGTGGCGATTGGTCGACAGAGTTTAGCACGAGACAGAGTGAAATGCCCACTACGGCTTATTAACAATATTGAAGTGGTCAGACTGCATAGTAAATGTGTGAGCATAACTGCCAACCTTCATTTTTTTTCTTGGGAGTCTCCTATATTTCAGACCCTTCTCCAGCCACCCACCCATTTTGTTATTTATCCCAGAAAACTCCCGTAATCTCAACACCCGACTCCCATAGTCTGATTCAAACTGCATTACAGCTGTGCAGTAAAACACAAGCATAGTGCTCCATTCTTAACCATGACACACATTCAGTATTAATCCACACAGCAGCAAAAGCTGAAATTTTTTGAACCTTGACCGCTGCACATGTGTAGGAACAGCTGGCCATAACAACATCAAACAGCAGTGGAGCACGAGCTCACAAATGCATTTAAATCCGTAAACCAAGCGTCACGCTTCACGTTTTTAACGTGGCTTTAGACGCGATATGAGAAAATAGTGCAATAAGCAGATACAGTACAAGCGGTTACAAGTAACAAAACACAATTAAATACATAATTTGCAAGCTAGAGAAAACAAGGAGGTGACCATTTTAATCACACTTACTTACACTTGTGAAAATGGAGAAAGAAACTGATCCATGAGCTGTGTACTGATAAAGTTCCTATTGAGCTCTGTCAAAGTCCCATTTATCAATAGTCTTTTCTGATCCTTCCTTTAACAAACGTCCGACAAATCCCCTGTTGTATGCATGTAGATCGCATTCTTCAGAAAAATGACGGGAATAGTAAAAGGCTGGGGCTAAAATTTATTTAGCAAAAATAAACCTCAACCACTCACTCTTCACAGTTTTATTTTGGTTTAAGAAAATAACACTAACTTTCCCCTCACACATCCAATAATATCCAGCTGAGAACAGCGTTTTCATGATTTGATTTAACTGGGATCGGCTACAGCGTTTGTCTTTCTTTCTTTGATACTGTGTTTGTGGGTGGGTTCGCAGGTTTCAATTGTCTCAGGTTTGCACAGGCAACAAATGGCTTATGTTTCATACCGACGTCAAGCCAAAATGGCTAAAGACTCGTTATTGATTCATTTGAAGCACTATGAGTCAACTCTTTTAAAGATGAATCAATAGTTTTAGACACTGTCCACTTTCAGATTTAAGCCTTAGTTGGGTATTTCACTTCACTTAGAGCTGTGTTACACACTACATGGAAGGTCATTTTCAAAAACCCATAATAGGGGATCTTTAATTAGCAATATACAGTACATTTTACACTATGTATGTACTGGTCATTGTTTTAAAACCCTTTAATATGCCTTAACATTAAAACAGTAGACATGACTCATGCCAGTTTGAATAATACATTTCTGTTTTTGTTTTGTTTTTTATTTTATGTTTTATATGTTATAGTTTTGCATTTTTGTATTTAATGACTTAAGTAATGAAATGAGGACTATTCTCAAGCATTCTCAAGTTTAGGTAATTTTGACTGACATGACATAAGCGAATGATAATGTTGTAAAACAGCAGAGAATTATATGAAAGCAACTGATGCATGTCCAAAAGCATTTGCAATTTGTTGGAAATAAAAACTACTACCATGATGTGCACTAATGACTAATTGTTTTGAGAAATGCATTAACTGTTGTGCAAATGTGTATAGTGTTGTGAGAAATGCACCAAAGCCACTGAGAAAAACTGTCGTCGAACATTAATGGCGTTTCAGTGGAGATTGTGGAGAGCATCAAATTCCTTGGTGTTCACCTGCCGGACAACCTCACCTGGTCTTTCAACACTGGCTCTATAACAAAGAAGGCCCAGCAGCGTCTCTACTTACATCTTCCACCACACATCCTTACCACTTTCTACAAAGGAACCACAGAGAGCATCCTGAGCAACTGCATCACTGTCTGGTTTGGGAATTGCACCGTATCAGATCGCAAAACACTATAGCGGAGTAGTGAATATGTTAAATACACTAATGTATTTAACAAACCTTTTAAAATCAAACGTGACAAACCGCGGGTTGCGCTTACTATAGAAAAATTCTGTGCAGCTCTTTGTTTTTGCATCAGGGCATTTTACTGTACAATGTGGCTGTAACGAGGAGACTGACACGGAAGGATCCATTATGCAGTATTTATTGCTCAAGCTCATATTCACACACACAATATGCACTAACGTGCAAACACACAACAACAACAGTCTATGATGAATAAAGACTGGCGATGAATAGACACAGGGAGTATTACCAGGCATAGATCGAGGGCAGGTAGCAAACATTAGAGTCCGTATAACAGGCGTGGTTCATGGGCAGGCAGCGAGTATCAGAGTCCGTATACAATGCGTGGGTCGTGGGCAGGCAGAAGGCGAAGCAGAGTCAAGAAACAGGCTGGAGTAATACACGAGGAATCAGGCAGGAATAACGCTCAGAAATGCTGGCCGGGGCTAAACAAGACTTTGCACTGAATGAGCGTTTGGTGCTGGCTTATAAAGGGTACGTAGGTCATTAGCGGGATTCAGTTCAGGTGTGCATGATCAGAGTAAATGGATGATGTAATGCTTAGAAGTCTGGAGATGGTGACCTCTGCTGGCCAGCGAGGGGAATGACTGGGACCGAGTCGGTGACAGAGCCCCCCCCCCCGGATAGCCATACCCACTGTCCTGGGGAATACGTGGGACCAGGACGACGGTGACGGTCGGCTTGTTCCTTAAACCTTCGGATGGCGTGTGACAAATGAGTGTGAGCTGCATTCCAGACCTCCTTACTCCTCTTGAACCACGTGTCGACTGTGGGAAGGTCAGTGGTCTCACAGGACCATGGAAACAGGGGAGGTTGGAAACCTAATACACATTGGAAAGGGGTCAGACCTGTAGCTGCCTTTCTCAAGGAGTTCTGTGCGTATTCCGCCCACATTAGGAACTTGTTCCAGTCAGATTGGTTGGAGTGACAGTAAGTGCGGAGAAAGCGCCCAATCTCCTGATTAAGGCGTTCTGTCTGGCCGTTAGACTGAGGGTGATAGCCGGAAGTTAAACTGATGTTAATCTGGAGGTTCTGGAAAAAGGCTGACCATAATCGAGATGTAAACTGGGGACCTCGGTCTGAGACAATGTCTTCGGGAAGACCATAGTAGCGGAATACATATTCACATAGAAGCTCTGCGGTTTCTAAGGCTGTGGGTAGTTTGGGTATGGCAATGAGTCGACAGGCTTTGGAGAAGCGGTCCACAACCGTGAGAATAGTGGTTTTTCCTTGTGACAGGGGCAAATCCGTG